TCCATTTTCTTTCATTCACATTCTTATTTTTCTTCTCTTTCTTCATTTCAACCACACATTCTATCAATAAAATAATACTACACATAAACTCAAAAATTCTCATTACTTTTCAACCACACATTTTTCCATCAATCACTATTTCAGAATTTATTTTTTACCCAAAATNACTATGTGAATCACCAAAATGATCGTATATAGGCCCTTTTTTGGAGTAATTAAATTTTTCTACAGTAAATCAATTCTCATTTTCAACCACACATTCTTCCATAAATTACTATTTCAGAATTTATTTTTTTACCCAAAATGGGTGTCAAACAGGGGCTAAATCTCTTATTTATGAAATCTTCCCTTAAAAAAAATAGTGGGTATATGGGTTGGGTCCAAAAGCTCATGCCTGCACTGGACCTGAATGGGCTATGCCTCTGAACATGGCTAAAACTTACATGAAGAACCAACTAAACAACATGTCTAGATAGACTAAAGCATGTCCAACTAAAATTGAGATAAGGATGGATTCTATGTGCTTGGTGCTCTAATCATGGTTTATATTAATGGGGATAAGAGTAGTACTAATCCAAATTTAAAGCATGTTCATTTGTTTGGCTGAAAATCTTTTATCTTGAATAACATGAATTGTGATAAATATGCAAATCGTCGAAAAGACGTAGAAACTCGTATGTTGAGTTGACTAGATTCATATCTTTTGCTACTCTTTAGTGTGTTTGATTGCATGACTCATTTCATCTTGTGTGCCTTTATTTTGTTTTTGTGAGTTTACACTTCGTTTAAAAAATGAAAAAGACAAAAAAAAAAAAAAATAATAATAATAATAATAATTGTATGGGCTAGGTTCATAAGGCATTAATGTCATTTGAGCCTTGATAGCTTGACATATGCTCTGAATGAACTTGCTCATATAAGTGACTCTTTTGGACATTTAAACCTAGTCCATGTTTGGTGGGGACTAAAATCAGATTTTTTTTTTTAATTGTGAATTTTGATAGAAATTGATGAAATGTATGGCTGAATAGTAGTTAAACCCATAAAATTTGTAATTGAAATGAATAATTGATTTTGATTTAGATTTAGATTTAGATTAAAATTAAAATTTTAATCGGTACCAAATAGGGGTTTAATTAGTTTTTTTGTCCATATGAGCTAAATTGCATTCTTTAAAGTGACGTGATCGAGCTTATAGACTCAAAGGCCAGTATCTATAGCTTTCGACATCACAATATGTTGTCATTTAACAAGTGGGTTCGTTGGAAAATTTCCAACAGGGCTACCATCACATATAAGTGAAAGTCACAATGAACAAAATTTTTGGAGTACTTCTGCACCCCTCACTGCTTAGTATATACCACCATTTCTATATGATTATAGTCGCATTGACTCGTAGCAAAGAAATAAAGAGATGTCATTAGTAATTAAGTGGCATCTCGACCACATGCTGATAGTCATCAATTAATTTTAACTACACATTTCACAGGATCGACAACTCTTATTAATTTTTCAACCACACATTTCATCAATTTCTATCAAAATTTACTAAAAATCTGATTTTTAACTACACCAAACAAGGGCTAAGCTCAACCATCGTTATTGAACTAAACTGAAGCACAAGAGTCAGCATTTCCTAAGTTACTAGCTCGACCTCATCCTAACTCAAATTCAGCTCAAGAAATTTACTAAAAATTTGATTTTTAACTACGCCAAACAAGGGCTAAGCTCAACCATCGTTATTGAACTAAACTGAAGCACAAGAGTCAGCATTTCCTAAGTTACTAGCTCGACCCTCATCCTAACTCAAATTCAGCTCAAGCGTTTAATGTATCAGAATCGAGTCCAGCGCGTAGACAGTGTCACCTACCTTNGACCTCATCCTAACTCAAATTCAGCTCAAGAAATTTACTAAAAAAATGATTTTTATCTACGCCAAACAATGGCTAAGCTCATCCATCGTTATTGAACTAAACTGAAGCACAAGAGTCAGCATTTCCTAAGTTACTAGCTCGACCTCATCCTAACTCAAATTCAGCTCAAGAAATTTACTAAAAAAATGATTTTTAACTACGCCAAACAAGGGCTAAGCTCAACCATCGTTATTGAACTAAACTGAAGCACAAGAGTCAGCATTTCCTAAGTTACTAG